AAATCAAAAGGATCATTGAGACTATCTGAGAAAAGTACTATTAGCATGAACTATTCTGAAATATTGTGAAATATGTGTAAAGCTGTGACACATGCCAACACATTAAGTCTTGATGTTATAAATAATATAATGAATTGAGCACCATTTCATTGCCCACAAAATTATTTGAAATCTTAATTATAAATCTCATCATAAAACTACTTCTGTCTTCATGAAAAGACCAAATCTATAATATCATCTTAATTATAGTTAATATTCTCATCAAGTTCACAATTTATCTACTGTACAGAAAAGACATCACTGTGAAGCAACTTGCAGAATTGTGCTATAAGTGTGTTTTTATTATATATGAAACATCTCAACACATAATTTCTGACTGAGAATCACTGTTCACAAGCAAATACTGATCAACTTTATACTTTTATTTTAATGTAAAATATAAGCTTAATACTGCTTTTCACTCTTAAATGAACAGATAAACTGAGCATCAAAATCAAATTCTGAAGCAATACTTATACTGCTTTATAAATTTTCATTAAGATGACTGAACTTAATAACTTCTCATGACTCAACATATCTATAATCAATTTTAATATAGCTTCATGAGTGAAGTATCAGCAATAGTTCTGATGAAATACTGATCAGATCTTTCTATTAATATCAGTCAAGTGTCAGAGTGTTCAGTCATACATGCTGCAGAATGCACAGAAACATTAACAGATATTTGCAGAGAGCTGAGTGACAAACTTCAACAGATATGAGACTCATAAAAGATATATTATAATGTCAAGCATCTGCTGCAAAGTTATAAGATGAATGATTTAGTCATGCTTAATGTTAAGAATCTTAAAATAATCCATTCTGCAAGAAAACTCAACCACAATTTTGTTGATTCATTTGAAATCATTGCAGTCTGAGAAAAATAATTATATAAGCTTCAACTACTCTTAATCTACTGCAGCATTCACTCTGTCTTTCACATCTTTCTCTTGAAATCTTACATCAAATGTGAGAGAGTGCCACCACTGCCAGAGTCAGAACTGGTGGATGGAGAAGATGAATTTATAGTGAATGAAATACTTGACAAGTACATCTGATGAAAGAAAGTTGAATATCTAGTTTGATGGCTTGAATGAGAATCACAAGATGACACTTGAAAATCTGAAGAAAATGTTGCAGATACAGAGATAATGAAAATATTTCTTAAAAAAGAGAAAATATGAAATGTAATAAGATTATCAGTCTCAAAGTGCAGCAAATGCTAAACATCTATTTTTAAAAATGCAAGATACTCTATCTTCATAATGGATTAAATGTCAACAGATGTCTCACATGGTTTAATGAAGCATTGAAAATAAAAAAGAAAAATGTAAATATTTTTTATTCAGATCTGAAGACTGCTGTCTACAGTAAACTTAAAATTCTGAAGAGCACAAAAAATAAAAAGAAAAATTGCTTAAAGATCACAATCTAAGAGTGAATATTATATTATGCAAAAAACATTTCTTGTTTCTGAACAGAACTTCATTGCTTCATAAAGTCTTTTAAAATACTCTCAGTATTAAATAAAAATTCACACAGTCTATGCCACTCAGAGATAAAATCATGAGTCTCATACTGGACTGAAACAATCACTGCAACTGTGATTACTGTCTGAAATTGTATATTATCAGAAATGACAGCTCTGCTGTCAGAATCTTCTGATACAGCATGACTTCTCTTACAGAAAGAGCTGACATCACTCTTATTAATGATGCTTTTATCATTATTATTATTGTTATTGTTGTCACTATTGATGTTCAAGATGGTGGAGAAGGTGAAGATGAAGATGATGAATGAGAAATAATTATTATTAAAGTTACTGACAGTTTTGTCAGATTGAATAGTCTGCAGTATATAATATTTAGTGACACTGATGAGAACAGCTATCTGAGCTCTCTGAAATTGCATCAGAGCTGTGAATTAATTAAGTTTAATAATGAGCTGTTAAAGCTTGTTGTGGTCAGATTGAATGATGTGACTCAATCTTTTATTAAAGAAAATCAAGTCATGAAGATTGATGATCTGCTGAAGAGTTTTGCTGTTCTCTGTCTATCAATATATATCTGTCAGTACTATATTTATCAACAGAACTTGCTGATAGCACATACAGAAATACAGAAATAATGTGTTTTGTGATATTCTTTGTACTTCTTTCTCTCTAAAAGAATAGCACAGAAAAAGTTGAGATTCTTATAGTAAAGAAGATAGCAGACACATGAAATATGTCTATTAATAAATAATATATTAGCAAATGATCAATACCCACATCAAACAAACACATCAATAATAACATTATAAGTGAAAAGTTTGCACAAACAGCAACAAGTTCTTGTTGAAAAATGTGAAGGCAGTGACAAAATAATAAAAAAAAAGCATTCACAGTGATAAAAAGTTTATGAAACACTGAGATAACAGAAATAGACTAATAGTCATGAAGATTAAGTATCATAATAAAGTCAACTACTGCATCAGAACAGTAACTTGCATGTGACAAACAGCAAAGCAACAATGAACAACTCATTCATAATATAGAATATCCATCATTCTACATTCAATATGTTGATGAGACTCACAAAAGAGAGAATTCAGTTATGATGACAGAGAAACAGATGAGTGACAGCAGACAGATGAGTCAGATAAAAATACCTTTTTAAAGCAATGGTGTTGTAGAAAGAAGAAGAGAAGAGAAAGAAGTGTGATGAATTGTGAATATTTTTTATTATTTATTCTGATATAATGCTAATTCTGATTAAAAAAAAATGCTTTTAACTTGATGAGAGTATCTGTTCTGACACATCATGTGTGACTCACTCAACTTATATCAGTGTTCTGCTTACATCACCACTGCTTATCTTACCACTCTGCTTATCTCACCACACTGACATCATCACATCACACCCACATTCACACCCACACCCACATCACAGCTACACAATGCTGCTCAAGCTACTCACATCTAACACTCAATAATGCTGCAAGCAGCTGAACAATTAGATATTAATGTCTAATACTACACTGATAGTAACATCTATAAACTACAATGATTGCTGGAGACAGCTTCCAATAAATGAAGAAGCAATTGTCATGTCAGACTTTAATACTAGACTCTTTAAATCTTAGTAGGACACATCTTGCTTGTATATAATCTCTCAATGCTGCCCTCATTCTTACACAGGTCAGTGACAAGCTCTATCTACTTATAGCATATACTATATACTTGCTCCCACTGCATATTTCTTTATATTCTCTATGCTAGTAGCTCATTCCTGTTCTGATTATATGTCCATTAGACCTAGCTCCTCACAGGTATCTCTTTCATATGCTGCAATCTCCAACTCTCCACACAAAGAATTGCTTTGATGGGCTGGTTGGATTTCCATCTTTTCTAACTTAATGCTTAGAATTCACCAATAAAAGTATCTGTCAGATTCAGATAGTCCTGTAATGTCTGTTCTGAATTTATAGTTAATGAAAACATCAACTTGGGAGAGAATATTGATCTCAGAAATAAATATATTTTGATTCTCAAGCATAATCATCTCTTTCAGATGATGAGATGGCTGTAAATGAGAGAGCTTTCCACCATAATTTCCAGAATTGTATCAGAGAGTGGATTGGATTTGAAGCACAACAGCATCAGAATTACTGAAAACTGATCATTTATTACAATCAATAAATTGTACTCTTCTCATATGATCACTTGTTGGATCTGTTTTGCATGGACAGTTATCTTTATCACACCAAAATATAATAAAATCAGAGAAAAAGACTGGTCTTTAATTCAGATAGTGAGTAAAATTCTCTGAGCTGTACTTGATCAAGAATCCCCATGATTGAGAATATCAAAATTCAGTCAGACAATTCACAAGCTCAGTCATATTTATATATATTTTCCTCCAAAATGTTGGTGATCTGACTAGCATTGCAACTAATGCTATAGAATTTTGAGAATACATATTTGTATTGAGTGTGATCTGAGCCAGCTTTCTGTTGGCAGCTGAGAGCATCAGCATCTTGAACAGAATGACTGATATCACATTCTTGCAGAGCAGTAGAATCAGAAAGTGTGTGTGAGACTTTTACTTGAGAGTAGAAAGCCCTGCAGAAAGCAATTTTAAAGATCTCAAATTCTTTAATGTAAAAAGAATTTCTTGTAGAGATTTGTATTGCAGTCAGAATATTTTCAATTTCTCACACCATAATATCATGACCATTGTAAATGCATTCATCTCATCATGCAATTTCACATGGGGATGGATTATAGCTTCTGAAGCATCATCCTCAGTTGTAGAAATTGTTATTGACATTGGTATTTGAGATTTCAATGACTCTTCATGATTCTCAATATGAGAATCAAATGCAAGTTCCTCACTGTGAGAATTGATATTAAATGATATAAATGCTGCATCAGCAGCAGCATTCTTTAAAATGTCAGCCAGATCATCAATTGAATCAGAGCTTGAAAGGGCATCAATATCAACTGTAGACTGCTTCACATAATTAATTTGAGCTTCTCAATTTCCACAATTAATAACAATGATAACTCACTGCAAAATCAATCTCTGAAAAGATATCTGCATCTGTAGCATCAAATACATCTGTAGAGTCATCAATTTCAACAGATGATTGTTGAATCTCATGATACTGAAAAGAATCTGGTGCTGGTATTTCTGAATTAATATTTGAATCTCAGAAAGTATAGAGCTTTGCTCTACATATATTTGATCTGAACATCTTGATTGAGAAGTAGACTTTAATTGCAATTGAAATGAATTGTTGTTGTCAGGGGTTGGAATCAGATCAAGAGTTGTAGTTGTTTATTACTCTTTATGAAAATGTGAGGAGACACAAAAGTAGTAGACAAGAGTTTAATTTAATAAGAAATACAGCAATATACTAATTGCAGGATTTTATTTATAAATTTATACTAATACAAATTCAATTCATTATATATAAGAATGAATAACCATCTTCTAGAGAATGTTGCAGGCTCAGTGTGGTTAGTAAATGAAATATTGAAGGCTTTAGAGACATCAGCAAATGAAGTATTGCAGATCCAGAAGACACCAGCTGAAGAGAGAGTTCAAAAGCAACATCAGCAAGTGTGGCATCTCAACACTGAAGTCTATAAAAAGGAGAATAAGCTTAAAAATGAGGAATCAAAGCAGATGATGCACTGGTCATATTTTCTGAAGTTCAACAAGAAGAAAATCTTCAATATTATTAAAAGTGTATATGGCATTGACAATGAGAACTGCTATACATTTGATTCAGATAGACTTCACCTGCTAGAGCTGGTGAAGATATGGAAATGTAAATTTCTAAAGAAAATGACAGTTAGCAATTAATTTAATTCAATCCCAATCAATCTTCTGCTAATAAAAGAATAGATTCAGATTCAAAAGATGGTAGAGACTGACAAGAATGAGAATCCCAATATAAAGATGCATTGCTGCAATGACAGTGAGAAGCTTCTCACTTATTTTGTGAAGCATTTCATCAAAGACAGATTTTTTGATGTCTTCTATTGAGTCAAATCAATCATTAACTATGAAAAGTCAACTCTGCTTGATTAATGATATATGAAGCATATACCATTCTGCAATTTGTCTGTTCAATATGGTAACTAATAGTCTGATTAGAGATATATGCAAATCTAGCAGTTCAGATTAAACTCTGAACTGATATGTCTGATGTTTCTGCAAAGAGAGCATGAGAGAAGATTGTGAAATTCTGAAACTTTATGACAGAAGCTCTACAATATGAATCAATTGACAAGACTGATTTTGTCAAAAAGAAGACAAAGACAAGTAAGAAAAGAAATTTCAATGTGCAGACTGATAGCAAGAAGATAAAGATACTCAGTAAGATCAAGTTTGCTGGAGCAATTTCCACAAAGTGGGCATAATGAGATTGATATTATCTCTTTCTAGTAGCATTAGCAAGCAAAAATTATAGAGAAATTGGGCTGAAGAGCAGTATAGAAGAAATATGATGTACTGAAACACATATATCAGACAATCTCAATTATGTCAACATAAACAAAGTTCTAATTGGGATTTGCATAATAAGAATTCTTTTTTTGAAATCTCACTTTCTCTTTCTCTCTCTTCTTAAGTTATTTCACCAGCTTGACCCTTCTCCTTCTCCCCTCCTCCCTCCCCCAATGATTTTTGCTTGTTTTGGTGTGAAAAGATAATATTAAATGAATTCAATCTCATGAGAGATATATTAACATTTATATAGGTCAAAATGTCTCCAAAAACACATGATTCAGTGGCTGCAGGTGAGGGTGCCACTCCAAGAAAGAAGCCAGATTCAAAAAAGAAGAAAAAGATCAATGACTCTGAAACCATATGTTAACATTGTATCAACTATGTCTTTTCAAATCATATTGATACTCCCTGCAACAAGATGTTAGGTGATAGCAAGATCTGCAGAAATTGTTCTCACAACAAGAAGTCTTGTGTTGATTGCTCAAATGAAGCAATTGACACTGTTAATCAAATCTTAGAGACTCATAAGCTCTATCTCATAATGACAAATCAACTTTTAAAGATTTCATTTCATGATGGTGCTGTTCAAGCTGCTGCTGAACTGGCTGAGTGGCTCAAGAATATAGATATTGTCTCAACTGATAAAACATCTGGCAACACATTGGAAGGCTTGAATTCAAGTCTTCATGATATCTCAACTTCTCTCAAGAGCATTTCAGGAACACTTATTAAGATCAAGAAATTGAATGAGATAATCTATTATTCACTCAGCTGTCTCTCAGTAATTTTCAGTCAAATGATTGATTGTCTTAATGTAAGTCTTTCAACTTCAAATAGTTATATAACAAATGCTAATATATATTGCAGGCAATTGCAAAAGAATTGTTCAATCTTCAGAACAGAACTTCTGAAATTTCTGTATGATTTCAGTTATTTTTCCAATTAAAATGAGAATATACTAATCTTTTATAATCTCATAAAAGACAGACTTCCAGCAGCTCCATTACTACTGTGAAGAGAGTCTGCTCTGACAATCATGACTCTTTCTTCTATCTTAGCTCATTGTCAGCTACTGTGTCAGAGACCTTGTTAAATACACCAGCTTGTGAAATCAGATTTGTGTCATCTCATAAGTTAATTCATTCTTTTCTTGCATAGAGAGCTAATTAAAGTATCAGTCAAGCTGAAAGAAATTGTTACCTCAACACTCAAAAATCAGAATGAAATGGATGTTCCTGTTGAGTAATATTGAATCTGAAGCTTCAGCAAGATGCTTACAGAGAATTTCAAGAAGACTGATAGAGATGAAGAATATGAATCTGATGAGATCTTCTACTCATCTTATACACTGTAACAACTAGCTTGACTTCAGCCAGAGACTAGACATCTCTTTGATATTAGAGTGGAATTATGAGAGTACTGATAACTAGCAGCTAGCTAGAGGTCAGGTAGAGATTATTGCTATTGAACTAAGTAATATTAATGTATAATCAGAACATATATAAGAATATATAAATTGTAGAATAGACTCTAATAGTGAATAGATAGTAAATAAATCACTTGTTCTCTTTCAAGTGGACAAGACAGCCTCCTGCTTACATTTTTGAAGTGGCAACATCTTGTTATAATGCTGTTATAGATATTTTCTGCTGAATGGTGGCTAGATAGCTGCTTCTCACTGATGATGTTCTTACAATTATTCTCTCTCTAGAGAAACACATTCTCAGATTTTTAAAGAGCTCATGTGAGATTTAAAAGTCTCTGTTTCAACAGTTGTTTTCACAGCAGATCATGTGAGTCAGAAACATTTTGTTTTGTAAGCTAGAGCATTGATTAATCAGAAGCTTTCAGATTTGTGTTATATAATAATTATAGAGATTGATAAAGATGAGTTTATTTTCTTTCTTTTTTCTTTTGCTTTCTTAAAGCATTCAAATTCTAGAAGTGATAGATGCTGGAGATCTCCATTAATTGTTAAACAGATTGCTGATAGATAATGATAGAATTTCTGCAAATTATCAGCTTTTTTCTCATTTGTAAGTGGATTGAAGATTCAGAAAGATGAATTTAATTAACAGAAGTAATTCAGAATTTTTCTTTAATTTAAATTTCATATTTCTGTTCTTCTGCTGTAAGTATTTCACAGTTGAGAGTGTTTTTATTTAATTTTCACTCAGCTAATATATTAATGTTGCTGCTAGATGACTGTCAAATGACTTTATGATGCTGCAGCTGCTTCAGTGATAAAGAAGCATGCTTATATTACAGCTTCAGCTGTGATCATTACTTCAGCTGTCTCAGAGTATTCAGTTATTTCTGCTTCAGATTATTCTCTGTCTCTCATAAGCTCTTATATGTGTGAAGAAAGCTAGTTAGCAGTGAGCTAATGAATTCTTTAATTAATCTTCTATTTCATCTTTCAGTTCTTGCTCATGAAACTCTTCTGTTATGACTACCAGCTTCAGAAGATCTGATTGTGATACATCTTCTGTAAGTAATCAATATCTAGTGAATGAATAGCAGCAATTAACAAGAGAATAGAATTTAAGAAATAAAACAGCTGCAGATGTGATCAGTTCAACTGTTTCTACTGTTTTTATAAATATTTTCTAAAAATTTCAGAAAAATATCTCAAGTTTCTCTTTTCTAGATCTTGCTGATAGCTTGCAGCAGATCAGTAATCAGATTATTATATATGTGTGATGTATCAAGTATCTAGTGTAAGATTATACTACAGTCTGTTCATTCTCTGCTGCATTTGACAAGTGCTCTCAGTACTGTGTGCATGAGAAAACATGTGTGGTGATTTCTTCTGCTCTCTGCAATGAGATTACAGTAATGTGTCAGCTAGCTACTGATAATTATTCAACTTTAAAGATTCTTTCTTGTCTACAGAGAAGAATCTCAGTGATTAATATTTTTTTTTGTGAAACAGATGTTTCTCAGATTATCTCACATCACACTTCTACTGCTGCTTTTATTATTCTCATCTCTGCTGCTGTCACTTCTGAATCAGAACTTTATACTGTCCTCATCTTTTTCTTGCAACTGAAGAGAACACTACAGATGATGTCTAATAACATCATCTGATTTCTCAAATCATCTGAGATTGAGACCAAATTCCTGGAGGAAGAGAAGAAGTCAGTGAAACTCATTAAAGACAATAACTTTTTTTATTAATCTTCAGATCTTAAATGAAAATGTTTTCTTCTGCTCTTTCTATTATAAATTTTTTCATAAATCATATTTCTTCTCTCTCTTTATTAGCTGCTAGCAGCTATGGAGTGGTTATTGCATAGTGAACTTGTGGTGATGTCTCTTAATTGAGGCTTTGAATAGCTGTTCAAATTCTGCAATAAGTTCATTGCAGTTTGGAAGATCTCCTGCTTTTAACCATTGATTTTTATAGAAAGAAAAGCCTTTTCATTTGATCAGATATTTGATTTTTGAGCAGTAAATGTGTTTATTGAGAATGATCTCCACTTCTCATTCTTCTTCATCATTAATCAATATTGGCTGCAGAGTCACTGATTAATTACTGATACATCTCTGATAGAACTCCAGTAGTGAAACATGAAAAGTTGAATTAAGTTGTCCATATGATTTCAGAAGTCTTAATATATAAGCTTGTTTTTCTTATATAGCTATAATTTTGAAAGACTCTACAAATCAATTATCAAGCTTGATAGAAGATCTTAAAATCTTTATATTTTTTCAATTAAGTAGAACACAATCTTGTACTTGATATTGCATTGATTTATGATACTGGTTGTAATATTTAACTTGTGTATTGACAGCAGTTTGCAGTGATTGAATAACTTGCTTGCAGATTTATTGAATTTATTTAATTTCTTTAATGACTTCTGATAGACTGAAAGATGAATCAGTCTGCAAATCAACAGATAACTGAAGTTTAAAGATTAGAACAAGTTCAAATGAAGTTTTATCTGTTAATGCATTTCAACTGTTATTATACACAAACTCAGCAGTAGATAACAACTGGATCCAATCATTCTATCAGTAATTAATATATAAGCAAATATATTATTTGAGGATTTGGTTTAGTCATTTGATTTGACTGTTGGTTTGTGGATGATAAGCAGTACTGAGATTTTATTTGACAGAGAGATGATGACACATCTCTACTTAATAGCAGTTAGTAAACAATGATCTGTGATTGAATAGAATAGATTCTGAGCACCCATATTGACTCACAATATGTCTAATAAAAAAATCAGCTAGTTCAGATGTCTTAATATCTTTAATAACAGAAATGTACTTAATCATCTTTAAAAATTTATTCACTATTATCAAAATAGTGTCAAACATTCTGTCATCTAGCAGCAAGAGTGGAAGTCTCACAACAAAATTCATGACTATATGTTTTCAAGAACTTATTGCTATGAGCAAGCTTGCTAGCTTCTTATAAGATTTATGATGATGAGATTTCATCAAGTTATATATATAGCAGAAGCTGACATACTTCTCTATATTTTTTATTATTTAATTTCAGTAATATTTGCATTGTAGAAGCTTTAATATCTTTTGAATATCATTATAATCAACTCATACATTATCATAATGGCTTCTCAGCAGTTCTTGTCTGATTACTGAATTTTAAGACATATATATTCTCACACCTCGACGCCAGCTGATCATCTCTGAAAAGTG